CACGGTCCACGACAGGCGGGGCCAGGTGAATGACACGGTGTTGCTTGTGTTCGGCTCCAGGTGAGCATTGAGAATTTGGCTACGGATCGTTTCGAAACCACCTGCTTCAAACTCGCATGCTGGGCAACGCCGTGACTGCACTACAACAGTGCCATCCTTCCAGCTTCCTCCAGCTCCAAGTTTCTTAGTGTCAAAGCTCTCTGGTCACGTGATACACAGCATTGCAGCTCGTTGCGGTCACGGCTTTAAAGAACAAGCACTGGTTAGCTCTACGATGCAGCTTTCCCTGTGTCGTCTTCCATGGGCACCTCCTTGTCGCCTAGCATAATGGGCGGCCAGCCTCTGGAGTATCGGGAAGCACGCTCCACACTACCCCCCATCAGGTCCCAACGCTGTGCACCTATAGAGCACCCCTTGTGTTCCGATCTGATTTTGCATGCTGGATGTACCCGTTAATGTATATCTTGGAATGGGAGTTAATATTTTGCGCATCCAATTTCAGAAAGTCCTCCAACTTAGACCCATTCGCGATCGCGTCGACGGGGTCTCGCACCTTTCTAAAATAGCAGCGCCATCGTCGAAAACGCGCAGCGCCTCAGAACCCCCATCCTGGCCCATGAACTCCCCGAAAACAGCTACTGAGAACTGAGCTGAATGGCCACTGCTGCAACCACTTAAGCCTGCGAGCGCGAAGCTCGACATGAGGCGGCACAGGACTGACGGCGTTCAATACGCGCGCGTTGCAATCCGCTCCCCGCCGGTCGTCTTGAAACTGGGCCCGCGCCCCTCAGCAAAATGCGAGAACAGTCTGCCCACGCGGAGTCAATCGTAGCCGAGTTAGCAGGATGGACTGGCGCCGATTATTTTGCCAAGCACTCTGCCCCCGACAGGCTCTCATTTACAACGTGTCTTTCAAAAACTGCACCTCCATTGAACAGACATGCCAGAGGCCCACGCTCGCCCCATGGGAAGCCATGCTGTCCGACCAGCGCGCAGTCGGCGCTGAATTTCATGCAGAGCGAAACGCAGACGCAACCTCGCGCCCAGGTGCCTAGCCCTCGTCGCGGTTTTTCCGTGGGTCTCTGCTGTCCCGGCATGACCGCCTCGACGCCGTGGAAACCCGAGCGCTGCAGAAAGAAAAACATATGTTCTCGCGTCTCGCATTTTTTCTCCACTCCTTACACGCGCCACCCGGGCATCAAGAGTGCGATTCTGACGAGCACCGAGCACCGGAGCAGAATGAAGGCCCCGCTCAACCGTCGAATCACCAGCAACATCGCCCACAAAGATACTGAGGCGAGCTTGCGCGCGCTGGTTGGGCCACGGACGCGCAACGCGCGCGCGCCCATGTCACGCGCGACCTGCGGCCCATCGCGACACACCTTAGCGCGCGCGACAGAGCGCGCGCACCATGAGTGGATCGCCCGACAGGCCCACTTGGAACGACCAGGGAAAAGTTGGCCCGCAGTTGCGCCAGATAACCTGGCCGCAGCCCAGACCATTCGAACTCGCGCGAGCTCTCGACCGAGAGGGTCGAAGAGATCCTTCGCAGCATCCTGCAAGCACACCTGTGAATTTCCGTCGTGCTACGAGAGTCATGTATCTTCTCACGCGACACTGCTTGGCCTCGCGCAGCAACCGCCAAGGGATGCGCGGCTGGACTGCAACTGCAGCTTCTCGGCGACGGCCAGTCAGTCCTCCGCGCGCGCGGATGTTCTGCGAATTCAGAGCGCGTGAGCGAGGCGCGAAACAACAGCTTGGCCGCGGCGCGCGCGTGAACCATGGCGCGCTGGCCCTCGACTCTAAGCGTTCTGTCCGCCTTGGCGAGACGCAGTGCTTCACTGATCACCCACTGTTTTGGTGGAGCCCAATCCCGACGGACGTGGAGGGCCTGCGATCTCCGTGCGCATCTGAATTGAGGGCCCCCAGCTTCTGTTTACCAACTTGGGCGTCAATGCCTGCCACTAGTGTCGGGAGCCCCTCGTTGATCCAGTCCGGGGCCAGGGCGAGTCGAAGCAGCTCGGCTGGCAAAGGAAGAGTTGGAGCCACTCGCCGCAGTCAAATTTATCACACCTTCTGCTGCGTCGATCCGAAGTCCTCGCCGATATCGATATGATCAACCATGTCGTTGTCTAGGACCCGACGGGGATGGCGCAGCGCGATCAGCCGGCCCAGGTCATCTCGAGAAGTTTCTCGGCAGCTCGCACCCCCCTGTTCTCCTCGCTCTGGAAGTTTATCTACCCTGTCTTTGGTTGTCGCCGAATTCGGAAGAAAAACGATAATCGCGCTTCCTTGGATCAAGCCCCGCATTTGCACCGCTCGCGCAAGTCGGCGAGCCCCGCAACGATCATCTCGACACGCGATGAAGGAATCGACTCGTTCCTCCTAGAGTCCGACCCTGTACTCTCGTTTCTGTTGCTTCAGCCACTTGCTCTTCACTCTAATCCGATGTGCATGAGCCACGCCATCCGCGCGCCATGCCCCCTGTTCCCGAGCATTCTGGGAGCCCCCGCAGGTGGCGACCTCGCGGGCGCATGGGCACTGGCCAGGAGCCCTGCACACATCCTGCGCCCGGGCGTTCTGGCTGGGGCGGGGCGACGGCGCGGTAGCAAGGCGCGCGGTCTGCATCTTATACTGAGACTGTTCCCAGCATAGTTGCTCTCGAATGTCACGATGCCGCTTCAGCACTTGAGAATCGAGCTTCGCCTGGCGCAGGTTTTCCCATGTATATCCTTGACTAGAGTGCAAGCGTGCTCCTCTGCATGCCGCAATCCATTCAATGTCCAATCACTTGCCTGCTCTGCGAGCTGCCGTCCATCAAGCTTGTTCGCCTCCACCTCCACGCGATCTTCCAGCAACCCGATGAACTGAGTGCGATTAGTTCCTCGCTGGCGCAGTGCACTCGTCGCTGCAGCATCAAGTCCGACTACGTCGCGCCACAGTGGTCGCGGCTCGAACGGATCCACCCCCGGCCCAATCCAGTCGACGCATGGCCCCAGAGATCCAATCGACGCATGGCCCCAGAGATCGCCTTCGCGATGCGAATGCAGTCGGCGCGTCGACGTCTTCAGCGCACGGCAGAACATCGCCCCATCATGCAAGTCTTTCGGCGCGCATCATGGTGTTGGTGGCGTGCGAGTTGCCCGAATGGGTCGGCCCGGCGTCAAACTTGGCGTTAGCAATGATCAAATCATGCGCTTCCAGAGTGAGTGAGATGGCAGATGCAGCGCGCCTTTGGACATCGCGGCGCCCGAAATCCTTCGCCATGGCATTTCGATCCGAAGATCCAGCATTCATATCCACGCGCAAGATAGTGGCCCACTGAGCACATGCCGCTTCGAGGGCCTGCTTCACCATGTCATCATCGCTGCGCATTTGCTGCTCCGCGCCCGCGCGCGCGTCTTGCTCTGCGGCGTCGGGGGGGATGCGCGAGAATGCGCGGAACACGGCGCCGCCCCCTCTCTTTCCACAGCGCTGCCACAGGCCTTCTGAGTCCCACGGGGGCCGGGAGGCGCCTTTTGGAGTTCGCGGGTTAAAATTTCGCCGATGCCAAATTGGAAGTCCACAGTTTGCATCCACTCTCACGCTGCTCCCCCGCCCCCACTTGAGACCGCCGTATTCTCCCGATCGCCGCATCTGCTCTGGGCGCAACTTTTCCTGCGCTCCAATCAATGCAATCACTTGACGATTGCGCACCTCCTCCAGGATATCAGCTGCACGCTGAACGTCCGCAGATTGCAGGTCGGAGGACGCGATCGCGAGGGCCACGCGCGCCGCCGAGCGCCTCGTCTGGCGCGCCATGGTGGCACCTACATGCATACTAAGTGGTTGACAACGGTCGACCAAACATCGCGAGCCCGATCCATAGCGAGATTGGCAGGCGTTTCGGTTGTGAAATCGACGCCCGCAGTGCGAGACCGGTTGATCGCGAGATCTATGGGCGCATTGGTGCTGACGTCGGTATATTGAGAGCGCGACAGGTACATCTATACTTATATTGCTATTCCGCCTGCATACCAAACTTCAAGGACCAAGGTCCATGGCGCGAAGCGCCACTGCAGTCTTGTATGTATATGTATGTATATATGTATGTATATATACATATATATATATATATATATATGTATATGTGTATCGGTGCCCCGTGGTTGCCCCGTGTTTTTCTCGCGCAGTGCCCCGTTGTTGTCCTGCGGTTGTTCTGCGTTTGCCCCGCGTTCGCCCCGCGCTTTGCCCCGCGTCTGCCCCGCGGTTGCCCCGCTGTTGTTCCGCGCGCGCGCGGTTGTCCCGAGTTTGTTCCGCGGCGGCCCCGCGCTCGCCCCGCGTCTGTCCCGCGGTTGTCCCGCGGTCGCCTGTAGGAGTTCCGCGGTTGTCGCGCGGCTGTCCCGCGGTTGACCCGCGGGTGCCCCGCGATTGTTCTGCGGCCGCCCCGCGGTCGTCACGCGGTTGTCAGCGATGTTGGTGGCGATGGTGACAACGACGACGATGACGGCGTCCTCGCATCGGCGATTGAAGGGATTGGAGGGAGTTCAAGATGCGTTCTTTGCCGACGCGTAAGATTGGCACGCATGGTTTCATTTGACACGGATCGTGCCCCCCTCAAGCACGCGCGCAAGAGTGTTCGAATTGTTTCGACGTGTGGCGCGAGGGGCCCGTGTGACCGAATTTAACGAGAATGTTGAACAACCCTTGGTTTCTTTGCAAATCCGCAGGAGCGCGAGCGCAGGCATTTTTTAAAACTGAAGTTGCAGGTCCATTTGTTTTAATATGTTTTCGAGACACCCGATTTTGACATCCGTGCGATACCTACGGTTTGAATAATTCCGGCATGCCCGCGTGACGACGCACGCGAGGGAGAAGGGTCCAGCGCCGATCCCGTAAATCCCCGGTGGCATCCGGAAGCGCCTGCGCATTCTGCTGTTTATTGGTCCGGTCCTCCCCTCTTCTCCTTCCGTTGAGTCATCCTCGCCGTTGTCCTCCCTTTGCCCCCCGCATCGCGCCAGGCCTGGTCAATCATGCTGATGCTCTCGAGCTACGTCCTCCTCGTCCCAGGCATCACCGGCGTCCTCTTCTTGGGAGGGTCGTAGTGAGGGGTGGCCTACATTGGGGTGTAGGAAAGGGCCCTAGCCTACAGGGCCCCTTTGGGACCCCGATCGGTTCTAGAAAAGGCCCTGCAGGGCCCCTGTAGGGCCCTCCTTCGCCCCCCAAATTGAGGTCACCCCCCATGACCACCCGCCCGATGCTCAGCTTCAACGTCGTTGTGAACACGCTCGGGCAGCGCATCAGCCTGCAGCCCGACGGGGGCCCCGGGTCGTGCACGGAGTCCACGGCGGGGCTCGTCCGCCTGCTGAGCACCACAGGCCGTGGGAGGGCCAGCCTGAGACGACGGCGGCGTTCCCGCCCGACCCCTCCTCCTCCTTCCCTTCCCCCTCCCCCTCCTCCTCCTCCTCCTCCTCCTCCTCCTCCTCCTCCTCCTCCTCCACCTCCTCCTCCTCCTCCACCTCCCCCTCCCCCTCCCTCTCCTCCTCCTCCAAGGGCCCATTCGTGACATGTTCCCCGCTGCGGACCCAGCCTTGGCGACCAGAGCATGGGGGGTAACGAGCGAGCGTTTTCTTGTTCGGCGCTTCGACACTGGGCGGAAGGGGGGTGGGGGGGTGGGGGGGTCTGGTTCCGGACCTCTGCTCCATGCGACTGTTTGCAACAGTGCGTCCTACGGGGGAGACTGAGACTCCACCTGCTTTAACAGCCAAGTTCTAGTACTCAATGGGGGGTGGGGGGGGGAGAAGGGGGATGCGAGGGCCCGCGCTAGTCGGCAGAACAATGAATAAGAAAACGACGACCAACGTCAGTGAGGGCAGCCGTTGTCTCGACACGGCCCTCCTCCGAAAACAGGATCGGCCGTTGGCGCGGCCCTGGTGGTCTTGTACGCCATGGTCGTGCCGGTGCTGAAGCTGCTCCTCGTCGCCCTGGGCGAGGCCTTGCGCTCCTCGCGGAGCCGCTCGCGGGTGCAGCTCGCCAGGCTCGCCGTAAAGCACCGCGCGCGCTCCACTACTCGCAAAGTTCTTACTCGCCAACGTTTGCATCATCAACAACATCATCATCATCATCAGCAGCAGCAGCAACAGCAGCTGCTGCATCAGCTGCATCAGCTGCATCAGCTGCATCATCATCATCATCATCATCATCATCATCATCATCATCATCATCATCATCATCATCATCATCATCATCATCATCAGCATCATCATCATCATCATCATCATCATCAGCATCAGCATCAGCATCAGCATCAGCATCATCATCATCATCATCATCATCATCATCATCATCATCATCATCATCATCATCAACATCAGCATCATCGTCATCGACCCACTTGCTTCGTGCCAGCAGGTCCTGCATACTCGCCGTGCAGGTGATCTCGAAGTGGGCCTCGCCCGACGTGTTCGCCTACATCCTGCTGGTGCACCTGGTGCGGGGACTCGCGGAGCCCCCCAGCATCCTGACGGCAGCCAGGCCAGGGCCGAGTTACGTCGGCTTCCGTCCAGCCCGATCTGGCTTGGGTTAGGTCGGGCATGTCCTCCTACAGGCGGATTTCGAAGGAAACGTAGAGAATAGTGGAAAACATATCAATAATAGCCAAACATAGTCGAAAAAGCGTCCAAGGCTGCGATCCGGTGCGGCCCGATGCTTCCATGGCGCCGTTGTGCAACGTGGCGCGGCCGCTCCCGACGCCGACGCCGGCGCGGCCCGATGCGATGCACGTTCCGATCTGTCAAGCAGTGTCGAAGCGTCCTGGCTCGCCTACAGGCCCACCAAATAATGTTCTAAGAACCTTTTGTGGTCTGCACGAAATGTTCTTAGAACATTTCTGGCTGGGAGGGTCTTGTTTAAACACATCGGGTTCATGTGATAAGAACCTTGTTTTTGTTATTTGAACATGTTTGAGTTCTAAGAACATTTCGTGGTAGGCTGTCCTCTAGGAATGCCGGGACGGTCGGTCCCTGCTCATAGAACGGATGTCCCGATGTCCCGATTCGGTATTTGGTTGGTCCTGCCAGGCTGGACGTGGGCTTCTCCTGCTTCAGCATCTTCTGCCTCTGCTCCACCGTGTCGTCCCTGGGCATCGTGGCTCGGGCGAAGGGGGGAGGGGGGATAGGCAGCGGCGGGGTGCCCAATCCGAGCTGGTTTCGGCCCCACCGGGTGGTGCTTTCCTCGATGCATTGGGGCATCCAGCGCTGGGCGGCGCCAGAGAGACATGCGCTGCGTGAGCTGATTCGCCAGCCGCCCCACTTGCTCCCGGAGCTACGACGTCGTGATTTTATCGCAACGCGGACCCCCGCTGCCCCCGGACCAGTTTCTCACCCCCTGTTAGTTTTCTGACGGCCCCAGGGCCTGGCGAGGGCCCTGGAGCCCAGCGAGGTCCCCCCTGGAGGCAGAAAACCGCCCAACAAAATATGTCGTGAGATTCTCGCGGCGCGACGAGGGGAAAGGTCCACGCGGGCCTCCGAAAGGTTATGCTCATGGAGCTGCTGTTCCTCCGTTGCTACCCACCCCGCTCTCCACGGTTCAAAGACGGGGCCCTGAGGGACGGGGCTCTGCAGGGCACGTGGCCTGAAACAGTGGAGGATCCACCTGGGAATCCCCATCGCATCCTCGGGGCCCCATCCCCCTGGGCCCCACCGCGCACGGCTGAAGCCATCTACGGACGTTTGCGGTGCACCGCGGGCGCTTCACAGCTATATATATATACACACATACATACATACATACATACATACATACATACATACATACATACATACATACATACATACATACATACATATAACGGCCGCACCGGGGCCCAGGCCCCCAGGGCCGCGATCTCTACCGCAAATGTATATATATATACACATATGCACATATATACATCTATGTATACACGTATAGAAACAACCGCTCCAGATCCATTGCTGCCAGAGTTTTCTCTCTCGACCTCTGAGCCCCTGAGCCCCCCAAAAAAACACTCGGACACCAGCTGAGTGACGCAGACAGCGGGTTCGCTAGCGGGGACAGTCGTCGCGCGTCCGTTGCCCGCGGAAGGTCGCAGGTAAGCGCCCCCATGTCCAGAGTAGCGTGCCGCGCTGGCGGCCCGCGCAAGCTGCCGCGTAAAGTCGCCATGCCATCGGTCGCTATGCCGTCGCGCGCGAGACGAGTTTTCTCATCGTCGCTCAGATGACAGTCCAGACGACCACTGCTTAGCCCTGGCATCGCTCGGACGCGTGCATTTTTTTTCTCGGCGAGAACCAACGAGGACCATGCTGGACCATCGCGCAAAAAAAAACACGCACGAAACCGAAAAATGCACGGGAAATGGACGTCCGAGCGATGGCAGGTAGCGTGTCGCGCCGCCAGTTTTGGCCCACCACGCTTCGGCGCGACGTGCTGACCACGTCCAGGCCACCAAGCACCAACATTCCGAGCCGTTCGAGGCCTCCCGGCCCACGAGGCGGGGCGGCACGCTATCCGCCTGCAGTACATAGCGTGTCGCCGAGGCCGCCGCCGCGACACGCCAAGCACAAGTTCCTGACCGCATGTACCTTGGGGGCAACGATAGGGAGGGATAGGCGTAGGGTCATGGTTGATACATCGACGATACGTCGACGATGCAGGGCGCTGCATCGACGATGCATAGCCGCTACCTGGGGCGGCCTGCATCGACGATGTATCAGGATACATGGGCGATGCATCGGCCATTCGAGGTCGCTGCACTCCCCCCTTATGCCTGTCCCCCCTATCATAGATCCCCGACGTCATGTTTTTTTCATGACGTCGATCCCCAGAGGTCTCGACCCCTTCCCCATGACCAGCTTCTCCTTCCGAGTCCTCTTCTGCCGGTCCCGAAGCTTGCCAGGGGCCCCCCCTATATGCCGAGATTGGCGAGCAAAAACCACCCGTCGCGATTTTTTCGTGCTCCGAGCCCGTCTTTCAGGACGGCGTCCCTGGAAGTCCAGACCCTTTCCCCAGGGCCAGTTTTTCATCCTGCGTCGTTTTGTTGACGCTCCTGGGGCCCAGCGAGGGCCCCCAGGAGCCGAAACTAGTGAAACATGTGTCGTCCTGATCTGTTTGCGACGCGATCATGTCTGGGAGGGGACAGCATGCTACGCATGGAATGGAGTCAATGGAAATAAATTGCAGTGGATCCGTGAGTGGATCAATCTACATGGATGAGGCTATGATGCCTGTTTGATTCTGAGCCGGCTATGATGCCCGCTCGTGTCCACCCCGTCCCGTCTTCAGGGACTTCGCATCCTCCTATGATGGTAAGATGGGAAGACGGGCCGCCGCCCCTGGCCGTGCACGTACGGTGCCAGGCTTGTGGGGATTTGGTTCGACCCCCGCAGTTCCGATGATGGAAACTGCGAGGGGTGTGAGGCCGCATGGTGGTCCTCACTGGTAAGGCCTATGATGGTCCTCGCCGGGGGGAGAGAGGGCAAGGGCGGACCAGGAGGAGGAGAAGGAGGAGGAGGACGACGACGAGAAACTTGAGTTCAATGAACAGATTGAGCGCGAAGGCCTATGCTGGCCCGTGAGCCGCCCACCCCCCCCCCCCCCTCTCCTCATCCTCCTCCTCCTCCTCCTCCTCCTCCTCCTCCTCCTCCTCCTCTCCCCTCCTCCTCCTCCTCCTCCTTCTCCTCCTCCTCCTCCCCCTCCTCCTCCTCCCCCTCCTCCTCCTCCTCCTCCTCCTCCTCCTCCTCCTCCTCCTCCTCCTCCCGAATTGGCTGATGGATCCGAAATTGGGCGCGACCGCTCGCCCATAGCTGGGGTGAAAAGCGGTGCCGCCCGGCCCCCTCGCCCGGCCGGTTGCGCCTCGGTGCCGCCCTCCCCCTTGGCATCGCTCGGACGTGTGTGTTTTTTTTTCCTCGGCGGGGACCATCGCAGGGCTCGTTTCGATTCCTCCGATTCGATTCGATTCGATTTCGATGGTTTCCGATTCCGATTCGATTCGATCTGGGGTTCCGATTTGAGTTCCGATTTCTCATTGGAGGCATACTAGCCTGCCGATTTCTGCCGATCCGACTTTTCCCGACTCAGCTGCCGATTTCCGACGATCCGATTCATGTCGATCGCCGATCCGACTTGTCGATCCGATCTTGGGCTCTCCTGCCATCGAGGAGCATCCTTGATCATTTGGCGAAAAAACCACGCACGAAACCGACAAAAAAAAGCACAGGGAATGGACGTCCGAGCGATGGCGAGTCCCCCCTCCGCCCGGCCCAGGCACCGCGCTGCCCCCCCTGCCGGGGGCCGGCGAGCGGGAGCCCGCCGCGCGCGCGGCCGCGCCCGCGGCCGGCGCTGCCCCGCGGCGGCCGCCGCAGGGCTCCGCCGCCGCGCGGGGCGTGCTGGCGCTTCCGTGGCGGAGGGCAGATTGGCGTCACCCCCAGCTCTAGGCCTCCTAGATTCAGGAGGAGAAAAAACACACAGACACAATTAATCGTCGATTCCCAGAAAAATAGGGGGAAATGTGGGAAGTGGGGGGGAAGACAAGAACCCAGAAAATATGGGGAAATATGGGAGATCCTTTTATCTGTGTGTATTTATTTGTGTGTCCCAGGACCCCTTCATAGATGGGGTCGGAGTAGATGGGGTCGGAGGATCGCGCCGCATCGCCGATGCATCGGCGATGCATCAGCGATGCGTCTCGAAGTGGGGCCCAATGTTCTCCACGCCGACGTCGCCGATGCATCGCCGACGTCGCCAGTGCATGGCCGATGCATCGCCGATGTATCGGCAATGCGGCGGGATCCTCCGACCCCATCTACTCCGACCCCATCTATGAAGGGGCCCTGGGACACACAAATAAATACACACAAATAAAAGGATCTCCCATATTTCCCCATATTTTCTGGGTTCTTGTCTTCACCCCCACTTCCCACATTTCCCCCTATTTTTCTGGGAATCGACGATTAATTGTGTCTGTGTGTTTTTTCCCCTCCTGAATCTAGGAGGCCTCTACCAACATGCTTGAATCGTATGTGCGTCGCCCCCCCATGGGGCGACGCGCGCTCCGAGGAGTCTTACAGTACATGCGTCGTGGGGGGGGCGCGTTCTGGCCACGCTGCTCGGGAAACGATCTGCCACAGGTTGAGTGTAGTACATGTTCGGGTGGGGCGCGCGCCTCCAAGGAGAACGTATGGTCTTAGCATGTCCCCGTGCGTCCCAATGCCTCTCGGAGGAGAGCCAGGGGAGACGACGGCGAGTCGCGACAACCACGGCGGTTTGTGGAGGTTGGCGGGCCGTTTTCTCGAGCAGTGGCGAAGCGTCCTGGCCCGCCCGTAGGCCCACCAGAGAATGTTCTGAGAACCGCTTGCGGTCTGCACGAAGCGTGCGTAGCACATGTCTGGCTGAGACAGTCCTGTTCTAACCCTTCGGCTTTCTGCTCCAAGTGCATTGCTGTCGTTCTCGGAACATTCTCTGGTTCTGAAAACATGTCGTGGTAGGCCTACAAAAATGCCGGGCCAGCCAGTCCCTGCTTAATGTTCGGTACCCCAGATGGTTCCCATCAGCTGCGCCTCGTCACGGGCGTTCCAGGGGTGCAGGTTTTGGAGCAATTTTGGCCCCTTGGGGGGGTCCTTGGAGGGCCAAGAGGGCACTTGAAGCCATCTTGGGACCGTCTCGGGGCGTCTTCGATGCACATATGCGGGAGGCTGTCTTGAGCCATCTTCGGCCATCTTGAGCCATCTTGGGGGCCATCCGGGGCCAGGAGATCGTCCCGAACGGCCGCCGGAGGCCCGAGCAAAGTCGCCCGAAGACCGTCGCAGGATGGGGCCCGCCGATAGAGAGAGCGGCAGCCCTCCCCTGCGTGTCTGCTGCGCCCTCCCCTCTTTTGGACCTCCCGGAGGCGTCTCGTCGCCACGGCCGGGCCCGCCTCGAAGAGCGGGTGGGGGTGGAGCTCCAGCAGTGGCGAAGCGTCCTGCCGTGCCTGCGGGCCCCGCGAACAGTGTTCTGAGAACCTTTTTGTGGTCTCCACGACATGTTCCTAGAACATTTCTGGCGGGGGCTGCCTTGTTTTCACTCCTCGGGCCCACGTTCTGAGAGCAGTGTGCTTCGTTCTAAGAACATCTCTGGGTTCTAAGAGCATTTCGTGGCAGGCTGGCCTCCAGGCATGCCGGGGCGGTCGGCCCCTGCTCGTAGAACTCGGGAGAGGTCCTGGGACCGGTTGTGGCCGGCGGGAGGGGCGCCGCTGTCTCAGTTTGGCCCTCCTCCGCATCTCCACGAGATCCCGCGGCCTCGCGGGCAGGGCCCCCTGCCCTGACATTTTCCCGTGGCGGCAAAAATCCTCCTCCTCCTCCTCCTCCTCCTCCCCGTCCTCCTCCCCGTTCTCCTCCTCCTCCTCCTCCTCCTCCTCCTCCTCCTCATCATCATCATCATCATCATTAGGGTACCTGAACAATAGGCGCAAAACCTGCGAGAAGAAAGGACATCGGGCGCCCCGACATCCTGCCATCCTGAGGTCCGAGAATTCTTGGAAGTCGCGTTCTGGAAACTCCTGACACCCTCCCGTTGCGAAAAAAGACGCATCCTGCGGCGGGGGGCCCTCGCCAGGCCCTGGGCCCCCCCCCGACGAAACGACGCAGGATGAAGAGAGCTTGTCCGTGCCCTGCCATCGAGATCACTCGAGAGCAAGGATGTCTGCCGTCAACGTCACTCCTGTGTGCTTCGGGCGACGGCACTTTCAAAATGAGAGACCGCCTGTTCTTATTACGCACAGCTCGTTTCTAATTCTTCGAAAGTTCTTTGATTTCATTTGTTCTATCCTGGGCGCCACTTTAGAGGGCCAGGAGCAATTAGAACCAGCACAATCAGGAATGAGCACGATTAGAAATGAACGACGTGTACTCCTCGTCGAGCTGGTCTGGAGGAGCGGGGCCCAGACAGTTCCGGGCAGCCAAGGGAGGGGGACAGCAAAACACGACTGCGGACGCCTGGGCCCGTGGCCTCGCAGGCAGGGCCCCTGGGCCTCGAAGGAGAACAAGTGGCAGAACATGCGCGTCCCTCTACAGGAGGAATATCCAAACATTGTCCAAATTTTCTTGGGCCGATTTTTCGACTATGTTTGGCTATTTTTGAATATGTTTGACTATATTTCGTTTTTCTTCCAAAATCCGCCTGTAGGAGGACATGCCCGACCTAAGCATAACATTAATTGTCTGAGACCCGCGCTGATTTCTTGGATCGGCGCTGGGCCACCCTTGCGGCGCCTCCGGCGCCGCGCCACCCCTGGCGCGCTCTGCGCGCCATGGAGGGGGAGTCCGGCACCGATCCAAAAGCTATGTTCATGCAGTTGTTTCTTGCCCCAGAGGCCACAACCCCATGGCCACGGAACGTATTTTTGAAGATGTCCCGTGCGCAGTTTAACGTTAGCCCCAGAAGAATGCAGGGAGGACCCCCCCGTCCTCTCAGGGGGGGGGGCAGAGCTCCCGGCGGCGGAAGATGTAAGAGTGAGGGGGCCGAACGGTCATTCGCTGTCCCTGGGTGCGTGGCTGAAGTGGGATTCAGCGATGCGGATTCGTGTTGTTGTTGCTGCTGTTGTTGTTGTTTTTGTTTGTTTGTTTGTTTGTTTGTTTGTTTGTTTGTTTGTTTGTTTGTTTGTTGTTGTTTGGCGTCGTCTCCCCCGCGACCCGCCCGCGACCCACCCGCGACCCGCCCGCGACCCACCCCGCGACCCACCCACATTGCTTTAACGAAAAATCGGCGCCTGCGGCGGGCTCGTTGTACAGCTTGTAAGAATTTGGACGCCTGCAGCGGGCTTCTTCAGAGATTCGTAGACTGCAGACGGCCCCGCCGCCTCCTTACTCTGATCCGCGACTGCGGGGGTCTACGTATTACTCTTCCCCCCGGCATCGTGACCCCCAGCCGGCGCCCGTGGACTCCTCCCCAGGCCCGTAGACTCCGCAGGCGGCGGTCGAGTTTCGCTCAGCTCCGCTGCCCTCTGCTGTTCGCGCGACGTGGAGACCCCTGGCGACCCTCGGCCGCTGATGCCTGTGGCCTTCTTGGCCCCAGCGAGGAGGAGGAGGAGGAGGAGGAGGAGGAGGAGGAGGAGGAGGAGGAGGAGGAGGAGGGGGAGGAGGAGGAGGAGGAGGGGAGGAGGGGAGGAGGAGGAGGAGGAGGAGGAGGGGGATCCACGGGGCCGCGCCCCGGGAGTCCAGACCGCGAGGGTGCAACGGTGTGGGTGTGGCCGCCGCTCGCGAGGTGCTGTGGTCGCTGGCGCTGGGCGCCGTCTTCGCGGCGCTGCTGCGCACCGGGCTGTGCCTGCCCTGCATGTCCTTCCGGACCCGGGGGGGGGGGGGGGGCGAAACGTCGGAGGATTGTTTTTCGGAGGCCGTGGCTGCCCTCCTCCTCCTCCTCCTCCTCCTCCTCCTCCTCCTCCTCCTCCTCCTCCTCCTCCTCCTCCTCCCCCGCCTCCTCCTCCCCCTCCTCCTCCTCCGAGGAAGGCGCTCCGAGGTGTTGTTTCGAAGGCGGGCTCGAGCATTGACAGGATGCCCACCCACACAAGGTCGACTCACGAAATCTTCACCGTTTCACTCAACACGGGCATCCGAGTCGGTTTCGTTAATCGACGTGTGTTTTGCCGGATACATTCGTTTTTTGTTTTGGACGTCGACGTGCTACCCCGCCCAGGCCCACTCCAGAGTGTGTTGCTAAGTGCTGGTTTGTCAATCTTCGATGGGCCTGCTCTGCATATCTCGGAAGCCGGGCAAGGGCTGCTAAATCCATGGCTGCTAAAATCGACCTCTGGGAAGTTGTCTTCGTCCTTCCGGGAAGAAGCCCGTTGATTGTTTCGCGTGCCGCGCCTAATACTAATTCCGGGAAGTTGTTTTTTTTGTTTTTTCCGGGAGGGCCGTTTTGGCAGCCACGGTTTTGGCAGCCCTCGCCCAGCTTTCGAATATTCTTCCAGGACCTCGGAGGGGCAGAACATCGTCGGAGATCGGCTCCGCGGGGAGCGCACCGACCCCAATCGCCGATTCGTCGCCGAGAGGGGCCTGGTAGCCCAACCCGCCAAGAACCGCACGGTTTCGCTGTCAAGGGCTGATCCCCGATCTATCGGCGATGTGTCGGCGATGCCACGTCGACATTTCCCCCCCAAAGCTGGTCTTCCCCCATCTCAAGCAGCGGCATCCTGGCTCGCCTATAGCCCTACCCAACAATGTTCTAAGAACCTTTTGTGGTTTCCAAGAAGCGTTCTGAGAACATGTCTGGCCGGGATCGTCTTGTTTTATCACGTCGGGCTTATGTGCTAAGAAAAGTGCTATTGTTAGTAGAACAGTTTTGGGTTCTAAGAACATTGCGTGGTAGGACTACAGGAAGGCCGGGACGGTCGCTCCCTGCCCCCCCTATCGTCCCCATCAACTCGGAGGAAGGCCCTCGGAGGTCTTCGGATGTCCTCGGAGGCCGTGCCTGCCCTGCGTGTCCCTTCAGACCCTCGGAGGAGCGGAAGCCTCGGCCAGGGCCCCAGGAGCCAGGACATTGCAGGCCGCGGTCGCTTGCAGGCCAGGCCTCTGCGAAAGCGAGGGCATCGCGCAGAACGGTACATGTTTCGCCCCACGGTGGCGTTGTTTCTCGGCGCTCGGGCGCGCCAGCGTCCTGGTTTCTCGAAGTCTCGATTGCCGGTGGTCCTGGATCGGCATGGCCCTCGATCCCTGGTCTGCTCCGCAGCTCCCCACCAGAGGCCCAGGAGAGCTCGCCAGGGCGCCTCGGGAAACAAGAACATTGGATACCCACATTTGGAAACCCACATTGGAAACCTACAAAAAACAAAGAACACAAAAACTTCTGGAAGTCTACGCGGACCTGCGAAAGTTTACGATGATGCGGACGTGATCCTGCTAGGATCGTGGAGGAGAACCTGTACCCGCCGCACGGGCACGTCCCCGCGTCCATGAAGCCGATGGCGGGCCCATGCGAAGGGGGCGGGTGGAGCCGCCTGGCCCGCGCCGTGCGGCCCAGCCCTCCTAGTCCTCGACGTCTTCGTCGTCGTCTTCCTGAAGATGATGATGCTGATGATGATAGTGATGCTGGGGATGGTGATGGTGATGCTGATGATGATCAGGATCATGATCATTACCATGATGGTGGTGGCGATGGTGATAGTGATGGTGGCGTTGGTGATGGTGAGGGTGATGGCGACTAGGATGATGGTGACACTGTCGATGGTGATGGTCATGCTAGTGGTAGCGATGGTGATGTTAGTCATTGTGATGGTGATGGTCATGGTCATGGTCATGGTGGTGATGCTGGTGGTAGTGTTGATTGTGGTGAGAGTATTGTGAATAAGGATGCTGGTGATAACGATGATGAGCAGGACGAGGAGGAGGACAGGAGGAGGATCAGGCCGAATATGAGGAATAATGAGGGAGGACCAGAAGGGGGAAACGAGCAAGGGGGAGAAAAGGAGGAGGAAGGAAGAGGATTTACATGATTGGTGATGCTGCTGATGAGGAGGAGGAGTAGGATGGGTGGATATGGGGATGAGGTGCGCATTCGACCGTATCCTCATCCTCCGCATCCTCCATCTTCCCCTCCTCTCCCATGTTCTCCAAACTCCCCCCTTGTCCTCTTGCACGGAAATGACGAGAGGGCAAGGGGATGACATAGGTTAGGGCGTGCCAGGCCGCTCCTTCTTCCTCCCCGGTTATGTTCGTTCTCCCCTTGATTGGTTTCGACGTTTCGCAGTGAACTCCGCGAGCCCGATCCGATCCGATGATCCTTCGCATCCATGCCATCCGCCTTGCTCTTCTTTGCTCCTCCTGCTCCTCCGTCCCATCATCGTTGCTTTTCCTCCTCCGTCCCTCCTCCCCCCTCCCAGTGCTCGCTCATGAGACATGGAGGAGAGAAGTACATTACGAGAGAGCAAGTCTGTCGATAACAATAAAAAGGAAAGCAAAAGAAACCGCGTGGGCAGCCCAGCCCCTGGGGCAGATCCAGTCGGCGAAAGGGCTCATTGAGGCAGAGGAAGGACCAAATAACAAATCTCGCAACCAGAGGAACAATCTGGTCATAGAGAGGTCCAAGGTCCACGGAGATGCCAAAGGCACTGCTGGAGGGCATCAAAATGAGTGGGGGCATCTTCGCAGCCTTCAGCAAGGCATGGCCGAGGCTTTACGATGCGACGAAGAATACGCCGCCCTGCTGAACAAATACATGGCAATGGACGGCAAAGACGAAAAAGCGCTGAAGGCCGCCGAGAAGGAGCCGGAGGAGACAGAGAAGGAGATGCACGAGATGGGAGGCTACAAGACGGCGAGGAACATGGGGGATGAACAGACAGCGTGCCCCAAGGCGGTGGGCTCCGTGGACAAGTGGAGCGACAACATGCAGCTGTTCAACGCATGCAGGAGGAGCACAGGATGGGACAAAATGACGGACTTTGCCTGCCCGTGCGGACACGCATTCCCTAACAAGTTGTGGTGGCAAGGCCCCTGCCCCAACTCCAAGGGGCCCCCGTGGAAGTGTTGGCGCAAAGTGGATTAGCCGCAGTTCGTGAAGGCGCAGGAGAAACATCCAGAAGACGTGCTCATGAAAGAGTGGGTGGACAAAATGATGAACGACTGCGGCGTGGACTCTAGAAGTGGCCAGACATCGGGTACAAGTCCGTGCGCCAGCCGTCCAGGAAGGGGCCTTCGATGGCGGTGGAGCTCGAGGCGGGAGAAAGTGGGAAGCGCTTGCCGCGGAAAGGCTGCCGCAGGCGCTGGACGACGCCATCGAGCAGAACAATTGCAAGTTCTACGACGCCGCCCAGAAGATGAGCCCAGAGGAGCTCCTCGAGCTGATTCCTATAGCTTTCCCGACGACGCACAAGGTCGATGGATGCGATCTGATCGCAAGGTGCCCAGTGGGCGCGCGGGAAAGAGCTGGGAGGAAGGCCTTTTCTGTGCAGAGCTGGCGTGAGTTGGCGCCGAAGATAGCGAATAATGACGAGGAGAGCCTGTACGGCGTCACGAGGGGTGTCTTGAGGGAGCTGAGCAACTAGGGCACTCTCGACCCAGAGGAGGTGGAAAAAGGCTACACAGCGCCAGGAGCTACGGGGCAACG